AAAGAAAAACAAAGCTTAAAATTCTGTTACAGGATATAAAATATTTTTGGCCAAGCTCTTTTGGAGCTTCTGCAGAAGGAGAAAGAATGATGGTAGTTATCTCAAATCCCCCAATATTTTATTTGTTTGTGATTATAGGTTGAGATTTTTGTTGGAATATCTAAGAATTTCATTGCTTCTTCAGATGAATCTAAAATCTTTAACGAAAAGCATAAACTATGGTCATCATTAAGCTCCTACACTAGTCATGCTTTTATCATTTATTTTTTAAAAAAGATTTATTTTAGAGAGAGAGAGAGAGCATGAGTGGGGGGAGAGGGAGAGAGAGAGAAAGAATCTTTTTCCTTTAAAGATCTTATTTATTTATTTGAGAGATAGAGAGTGAGAGAAAGAGAGAGAGAGAGAACACGATCAGGGTGAGGGGCAGAGGGAGAAGCAGATGGGGAGCCCGATGCGGGGCTCGATCCTAGGACCCTGGGATCATGACCTGAGCCAAAGGCAGACAATTAACCAACTAAGCCACCCAGGTGCCCCAAGAGAGAATCTTAAGCAGACTCCCCACTGAGTACGGAGCTGGATCTCACATCTCATGAGATCACGATCTGAGCCCAAATCATGAGTCCAACTTGAGTCACCCCAGTGCCTCTTTATTATTTATTTCTTATAATTATCTTAAACATGTTAACCGTTCTTGACAAACATAAAGAAACCAAGAATGACATTTATATGGGTAATACGACAATGAGACTGCACAAGAGCCCTTATCCCTTCATGTTAAATTGTAGAAAAACACAATTATGGGTAAATAAGGGATCAGAGCATGTTACTAGTTTAGGCAATGTTTCTTGCTAGACTCTATTGGCATTTTAGGTGGGACAGTCCAACCAATTGCAGGATATACAACAACCTTGGTCCTAGCCATGAAATTTCAGTAGCATTTTTAGTCATAGCAACAGAATAAAAATTGCCCCCATGCACTCCCAAACTCCCCTTGGTAATGCAACCACTCTCCTAGTTGAGATGCACTGCTTGAGACTTTTGTTAAAATCTGATCAGTTAAAAAGCACCTATGTTTGGGGCACCTGGCTGGCTCAATTGGTGGAGTATGTGATTCTTGATCTTGAGGTTGTGAGTTTGAGCTCCACACTGGGTATAGAGATGACTTAAAAATAAAATCTTAAAAAAAATGCCTCCATGTTTATAAATATTCTATATTCTGTATTTTGTAGTTTCTCTCATCAGCTAAAAGAAAGATTATAACATCAACCTAAAAAAAAAAAAGTCCCTATAATCCAAATGACTTTGCTTTATAGTTTGTTTGTCATTAAAGCTAATACCACCTTAATGGACATCTCACATTTCTGAATTTGTATTTTTCTTCTTCCAAGAAGGGTTGTATATTGCTCTATTTCCACCTTCTCACATTTAAATTTAGATCTGAATAAATTGTATTGTCTTTCTTTGTGTTAATCAAATCATGGGCACATTTTGAATTATTTGGAATGGATGTAGGTTTTTTTCTTTTTTTTCTTTTAAATATTTTAGGTATTTATTTGAGAGAGAGAGAATGAGAGATAGAGAGCACGAGAGGGAAGAGGGTCAGAGGGAGAAGCAGACTCCCTGCTGAGCAGGGAGCCCGATGTGGGACTCGATCCCGGGACTCCAGGATCATGACCTGAGCCGAAGGCAGTCGCTTAACCAACTGAGCCACCCAGGCGCCCTGGATGTAGGTTTTTTTCTTAATGAAAGAACATGTTTCTTTTTTTTTAAGATTGTATTTATTTATTTGAGAGAGAGAGTGTGTGCATTAGCTGGGGGGAGGGGCAAAGGGAGAGAGAGAAAGTGGGGAAGCAGACTCCCCACTGAGTGTGAAGCCTGATGCAGGGCTCAATCCCAGGACCTGAGATCATGACCTGAGCCAAAACCAAGAGTCAGATACTTAACCAATTGAGCCACCCAGGCACCCCAAGAACATGTTTCTTAATTAAAACATAGGGGAATAAAGGTTCAGATGCCATACATAGGTGTATTAGGATAATAATTGTAATAAATGGATATCATCTTTGTGATGGCTGATGTCATTTACCCAATTATAATCAGATTTCTCTACAATAGAACAGTAAAATTACTTCTCAGCATTAACATCTACTGACTGTATGTTTGAGTACTCAGGTGAAGCACTAACTATATAGTCAGTGACAGTCATAAGGACTGAGATGTATGATGATATCAGTAATTATTTTTTAGTAGATCTCTTTTTGGATGCAAAAATTATCACTAGTATGCTTATGTATTTTTATAAGTATATGCATGTGTATATATATCACAAGCAAATCTCTGTTGTGAGACTAAACTTTAATTAGTACTCTAGAGCAACGGTCGGCAAACTGTGACCCACAGGCCAAACCCAGTCTGCCACCCATTTTTATGAACAAGGTTTTACTAGAACACAGATATGCTAATTTGTTTACATTCATCTATGGCTGCTTTTGTGCTGCAATAGCTCAGCTGAATAGTGGTGATGGAAACCATATCACCTGAAAAGTCTAAAATATGTATTATCTTTTTACAGAAAAAGTTGCTGTCCCCCGCCATAGATTAAAAGTTAAAAGTCAGCAGAAAACATGCACAAATAATTTTTCTTTTTTAAAAAGATTTTATTTATTTATTTGACAGATAGAGACACAGCGAGAGAGGGAACACAAGCAGGGGGGAGTGGGAGAGGGAGAAGCAGGCTTCCCGCTGAGCAGGGAGCCCGATGTGGGGCTCAATCCCAGGACCCTGGGATCATGACCTGAGCCCAAGGCAGACGCTCAATGACTGAGCCACACAGGCGCCCTTTTCTTTCTTTCTTTTTTTTAAAGATTTTATTTATTTATTTGCCAGAGAGAGAGAGTGTACAAGCGGGGGAGCAGCAGGCAGAGGGAGAAGCAGGCTCCCCGCAGAGCAAGGAGCCTGATATGGGACTCAATCCCAGGACCCTGGGATCATGACCTGAGCCAAAAGCAGACGCTTAACTGACTGAGCCACCCAGGCATCCCAGTTTTTCTTTTTCTACGACTAGAATGGGTTCATGAAAGGAGATCAAGGAGATGGTAGTTTCTAGGATCAATATCTATTCCTTGTAAAAGGTGTGCATTTAGGACTAGAAAGCTTGACACTGTGTCATGTCAGAAGTGAAAAAACCTGGTAGGGTTATTTTGGTGAGATTTAAGGAATGTCTTTTCTAGAGAATTTTGAGGTGGATCTAATTTTTGGGATACAGATAATGACAGTTTTTCAACATAGTTGGGAATAATGTCTTACTCCATGAGTTGAATGTGTTCATTAATATGTGTAATAATTTCTTTTTTTAGGAAGATTTTATTTATTTGGGGGGGGAGAGAGAGAGAGAGAGAACGTGCGCACAAGCACGTGCTCATGTGGGAGGAGGGGCAGAGAAAGAGGGAGAAGCAGACTCCCCACTGAGCAGGGAGCCTGACATGGGGCTCAATCCCAGAACCCCGGATCATGACCTGAGCCAAAGGCAGATGCTTCACTGAGCCCCCCAGGCGCCCCAATATGTTGTAATAATTTCACAACTATCATCTAACATATGAAAGTATCATAAGAGGCTGTCTATTGGATTGTAGTAGAACATTTTATAAGTCTATCATTAACTTTTTTTTTTTTGCTGATTGTAGATCTCATACTCATAAAGCTCTGAGTAAAATATATGGTCAGTTCAGTCTGATTGCCTTGCAACTTTTGGCCAGTTTTTCAGAGACTATTTTGAAATGTACTTTTTAAATTGATTTTGGACTCCATCAACAATGAAATTGTTGTCCAATCTGAGAGATTTTACAAGGTTTCTATGTAATTTGGCTTAAGTGGGTGTCTATCACTGTGATGGACAAGGATATAAGGAATGCAGTATTTTTACTTTGAATCAGGATAGAGTAACTGCATTAGACTTGCCTTTCTGCCACAGAAGAGTATAAAACTAGACAAACTACTTAGAGCAACTATTTTCAGGCATCAATAAATAAGCAGCACATGATTGTCATACTTGAGAACAAAACACACATGGTAAACTCCATAATTAGGGAGGTGAAACTCAAGTAAAGTAGTGGCCTTTCTGAGATGAGGATAGTGTTATCAGAGGTCAAAGTTACTGAAGTGGCTGGAATTTTGCGGGTTAGAATACCTGAGCTGTAGTGTGTGTGTCTGTGTGTGTGTGCGTGTGCGTGCATGCATGTGCATGTGTTGGGGTGGAAGGACACAAATGTGCCAGGCAAGTTTGCCTGCTGCAGGAGGAAGGCTGAAGAGTGATACTAAAAATCATGCAGTGCTAAGAGACATTGGATTTCCAGCCCAGCCCAAGAGCAGCAACTTCACTAATACTTTGGGCACTTAATTGAGAATCCAGAATCAAGCCCTAAGAGAAAGAACCATGCAAAAAAGTAAGAGGCACATGCTAGGGCCGAGTATAAAACCAAAATGGACACATGCTGCTAATAATAGTCCCAAGGCTAACCTAACAAAAGGACCCACCAGTAATTAATTTGCATAATGCACAGATGTAATACCCTTTAAAGACAACATAATCCAGACTCCCTATAATGTATTACCTACAATTAGCTAACATACAATTATTTATTATCAAACGTACAAAGAGATAGGAAAATGTGAACCAGAAGAGAGAAGTAGTCTATAAAAAAATTTCTGTGTGATGAGCCCGATTTGGGGATTAGGAAAAAAAAATTAAATAACATTCATAAATATTTTCAAGGACTTAAAGGAAAACATAGTCATAATGATAAGGATATGTCAGTTTAGGGGAGGATCTCTGTGATCACTGAAGAGCTGGGTATGTGGGCAGGAAGTCTTCACTGTATGGTGGCCCAGTGCGGGGACCCGGGAGGCTCAGTGCAACTCCGCACAGGAGTTCTGCACGCTCGGCCAGGGCTCCTTATGCTCATTGCCCCGCCTGCTGCCCAGAGACAGGACTGAGGCCTGGTCAACTGTCTCCTCACTGGAGTCATGAACCAGTCCCGTGCTGGCGCCCGCCTGAGCATCGTGCTGGGACACCCTGGCCAGTGTTTGGCCAGGGCCGGTGTAACTCACCCCACTTCAGGGGCTGTTTCTCCTAACAGTTTCCATCCTCCACAATTCCAGTATACTCGGGAAAATAATGTTCTAAGCCTAGAACAGAGACAATTTTATGAAGAAAATGGGTTTCTTGTCATTAAAAATTTGGTATCTGATGCTGATATTAAACGCTTTAGGAGCGAGTTTGAAAGGATCTGCCAAGGGGAGGTGAAACCAGAGCAAATAATGATAATGAGAGATGTGTCCATTGCAAAATCAGAATATATACCAAATGAAAAGACAGTTTCAAAGGTCCAAGATTTTCAAGAAGACAAGGAACTCTTCAGATACTGCACTCTCCCTGAGATTCTGAAATATGCGGAGGGCTTCACTGGACCCAATATTATGGCCATGCATACAATGCTGATAAACAAACCTCCAGATTGTGGTAAAGGGCTCTTATTTGTTATGGAGAAGCCAAAAAAAAAAAAAGAGAGAGAGAGAGAAAGAAAAAAAAATTTAAGGTGTTCTAACTATACCTGTGTGTATAACTGTTAAACTTTGATAAATAAATATATATGTCCTTTAAAAAAAAAAAGGAATGTCAGTGTATAAGTGAAACTTTTAAAGGAAAAGTTATCTGCCCCTCCCCTCTCTCACACAGGCACTCCTGCTCTCTCTCTCTCAAATAAATAAATATATCTTTTTAAAAAAGATTCATTCTTAACTTTCTTTTATCTACAGTACCTCAAGTTGTCTGAGAATGTTAAAGTAAATAAAAGATTTCTTCTCCACTTTTGTGAGAGAATAGATTTGTAGTTTTACAAAATCAGTTCTGGGTTGGTTTGAGTGAAATTATACCTTGTGAAATTCAAGAAAGGAAACCTTTTGTAGACGGAGCTGGGAGGCCAGAAAGGGGAGCTCTCAGGCCCCATTGCAACCCTTTGCAGACCCAAAAGGAAGAGATGATCTTGCATTCCCAACAGGAAGAAACCTACTTCACTATCCCAGTAGGAAAAAGGAGGATTTTCTCCTTGCCCAGTAAAGGCCCAGCCAATGAAAAACTGTCACAACTCAGCCAATGAAAAGCCACTACACTTCAAAGCCCCAGTTTACTCCAATGGACTTCTTGTTTATAACAGCTCCTCCCAACTCTCCCCTTTCCTATACAGAAGAGTGGTACTCTCCTTTGTTCTCTGGACTTGTGTATGGCTTTTGCTATAGCTCTTTTGTTCCAAATTGCAATTCCTGAATAAACACAATTTGCTGGAAAAATAATAAGCTCTTTTACTTTCAAGGTCAACAACCTCATGGCAAAGGAAGAAATGTAGCCAGATCAAGTCTCTAGAATAGAATACAGCCATGTTACTTCGTTTGTGTGCCTTGCTGGACCACATCATCATTTAAATCAGCCTTGCTGTAGAGCACAGGCTTGAGTGAGGCAAATGGGTTACAACACAAGGAACAGCCATAGGAAATTTTCTTTACTTTTTTTTTTTTAAGTAATCTGTATGCCCAAGGTGGGGCTCAAACTCACCACCCTGAGATCAAGAGTTGAATGCTCTACTAGCTGAGCCAGCCAAGCACTCCCAGAGCTTTCTTACAAGCTCATAGCTACTGCATGGTGTTCATGAGGAAAACGCAGAATCAAGTACTTCTGGCATTTTAAGGAATTCCTGTAGAAATTCTTACTACATCCTTTAATCAATTCTACAATACTCTGATTCTGTTCAAATGGTTCACTTTCGGTGTAGGGAAAACCCAAAGATTCCTGTGGGAGCCTATGCCATTATTTGTGCAGCCTTAGGTATGAACAAAATCTTTGTAATGACTTTAAAGCTACCTCATTTTAACTTTTACTCCTTAGTCCTAGTTTTGTTCTCTGATGCAATGGAAAAATGGTCTGACCCTTCTTTAACAGACCAAACCTCCAAAATGTGGAGATACATATTGTGTTCCCATGAGTCTCTGCTTCTTCAGAGTCATCTTCTCCAGAACTCAACTTTCCTTCATTTTTTTTTTTTTTAGATTTTATTTATTTATTTGAGAGAGAGAGAACAGCGAGAGAGGCAACACAAGCAGGGGGTGCCGAAGGCAGGTGCTTAACGATTGAGCCATCCAGGCACCCCCCCTCATTTCACATTCAATCATCTTACTTTTGACCCCTCTTTCATGTAAGTTCATCAATGTTCCTCATGAAAAGTGACCCCAGATGTGTCCAAGCAAAAATTTTAAGGTTTTGGTACGGTGAATTACTAGGGTAAAGTGACATTCTGCTTTTTTGACTGCTCACCTCATCCAGCCACCATCCCCTCGTCCCAGCCACCAGTTGCATTTAAAGTCTCGCATTTTCCACAGGGACAAACTAAGGCGTAAAACTAGGATTAACCCACCGGGAGAGCAGCGACCCGCCACCACTTCCGGGGTCGAGCGGAGAATGGCGACGCCTCCGCTGCGGAAGGAGGAGTTAGGGGCGGAGCCGCGTTTGCGTGCCGCCTGAACGCGCAGGCGGACTTTGCGCATGCTCGCACGAAGGCGTCTCCAACTCCGCTTCGGGTGGCGTTTCGCTCACGCTGTTCCCCAGTCGGGAGGCTGCGTTTAGAGTTGCCGAAGGATTGGGCGTTGGGCAGGTAAGTGCCGCTTCTCCTGTTCATCAGTCATTGCCAGCGTTCCAAAGTAGAACCTGAAGGGCTGTGCTAGGATTCACCCATGTTCTGCTGATATTTTCTCCTGATGTTCTGAAACCTTTATTTCTGGGAAAGAGGCGGAAGGGGTGTGAAGCTATGGTGGTTACCGTGGCAACTGCATAGCACCGACTTAGTTTTTGAGAATTTGGGAAGGGAGAGCTTCTTCTGTAAGGGCTCTTTAAAATGTGCGTCGGATGCAGATTTAGGTGTTAACTTCAAACCCATGCTCCTAAACCACAGCATTTGATTTTAAAAGGTATATTCTGGCTATAACGTGGAATAGCAGAATTTGAGGCGGGTTAACTAGTTGGAAAGCTGATTCAGTGATGGAGACACAGTTTGAAGATGTCCTGAACTAGGGTAGTAGTGGTGTAGGACTGCGGAGAAGAGGGAAAATTGGAGAAATTCCAGCAGGTAGTATCAGCAGGACCTAATAATTGACTGGATATGGGGGAAGAGGGACAAGGGCCCTGAGCATCCTGAGGATTAAGTCCACACTTGGCTGGGTATATGGCTCTCTTTCTAGATTCTTTTCCCGTCATCAGTTCTGTCTTCTGACCCCCTACTCCACGCAGACCCAAGACTCTGTTCATGCCAAGTAGTTTGATGTGCTAGTTTCTAGCATATTGTCTTCACCTTTCTTACGACGTTGGGTCAGGTTATATAATTTAATTAAGTCCCTCAGTTTTTTCAACATGAAAATGGAAGAAAATAATAGTACTTTCCTCAGGATTTTTATAAGGATTAAATGAGATAATTTATATGCTTGGTGTGTAGAAAGGGACCAATATATATTTACCACTGCTCCTATTATTGTGCTTGTATTGCTTTATTATTATGTGTCATTTTGCTGTTTCTTCCTCTAGACTTTTGAGTTGTGTTTTTTTTTTTTAAATTAAGGAGCATTATCTTATCTATCTTTGTATGTTCTTGTAACATAGGAGTAAAGATTAAAAAATTTTGAATGGATCATTTATTTTGACTGCTGTTGACATAATTTTATTTCTTACTTTAAAGGAGCTACCTGATAGAATTGATTTTATTGATCGGATGTTATTTACTAGATAAAAAGATGGCAGTTTTTCTGTATAACTAAGAAGACTGTGAGATAAGATGTACAGAAAGTAACTGATACTCTGAGTTTGGAACAGGTATGAGTGATTTCAGTGAAGAATTGATAAGGTCCAAGACAGAGGATGACCAGGAGGAATCATGTGTATTCTCTGGTACAGGAATGTCTTTTCCTTGGCTCCAAAAGCATATAGGGACTGTGGGTAAGTAAAATAATGTACAGCCATTTTAACTTTAATACAAGGAGATGATAAGATTCAATATGGATACAGAGTGAATAACCAAGCTGATTTATTCAGTTTTCAGAATGGGTCTATATGAGGGTTTTTGAGGCTGTAAGCAAAAAAATCATAAAAAGAATAGATCTTTTTTGCTACTTTTAGTTTGAACTAATAACAGTCTGTATTGTGGTAGATACACTTCTTTTTTCCTCTAGCAATACTTACTAGGCACTTATATGCCTAGCATTGGCTAAATATTGGGGATACATAGGTGAAGAAAATATGGCCATTGAGGAGTACATATGTAGGAAGTGTTTTTAAGAAGTTTCTGTTGAGGGCGCCTGGGTGGCGCAGTCAGTTAAGTGTCTGCCTTCAGCTCAGGTCATGATCCCAGGGTCCTGGGATTGAGTCCCTCATAGGGCTCCTTGCTCAGCAGGAAGCCTGCTTCTCCCCGTGCTTGCCACTCCCCCTGTTTGTGCTCTCTCTTGCTCTCTCTCTGACAAATAAATAAATAAAATCTTAAAAAACAAAAGTTATTTATATTGAATTGCATTGAAATTATTCCTTTTTTTTTTTTAAAGATTTTATTTATTTATCTGACAGAGGGAGAGAGAGAGTACAAGTAGGCAGACAGGCAGGCAGAGGGAGAGGGAGAAGCAGGCTCCCTGCTGAGCACAGAGCCCGATGCGGGGCTCAATCCCAGGACGCTGGGATCATGACCTGAGCAGAAGGCAGACGCTTAACCGACTGAGCCACCAAGGCACCCCGCATTGAAATTATTACTAACAGATTTGATCTGTAATAGATTTCAAAAAAAAGAGTATTTTCCCCATATACATATAAATATAAGCAAGTAAATATAAACAAGAATTTCTGTGGGATATATTTCCTGTAAGAATATATAAAAGAAGTGGTTATCTGTAAATGGGCATGTTGGATGGTGTAGTTCTGGGAATATATTAGAACTGACGCTTATTGCCTTCAAATACATCTCGCTTAACCTAGCCATCTTTCTCCTTGACTGAGATTCTTTAGCTCCTAGAACTTGCTCCTATTTCTTTATCTTTTAGTTTAAATATTATTTCATTTAATCATCTCAGGAAATTAATCCTCAAATCCATGTGCTGGGCGTTTTAGAGATGAGGGAAATGAATTTCAAAGAAATTAAACTCTAAGGGTTGGTATCAGGAGTTAAACCCAGGTCTGTCGGATCTCAGAGCTTATACTTCCAATAACTGAAATATATTTTTAAAAATGAGATAATATATGTGAAGTTCCTAGCACAGAGCCTCATGCATAGCAAGTGTTGCAAAAATAAGTTTCTTTCCTCTCATTTTATTTTTGCTAACGAGTGCACATGGTTTAAACATGGTTTGAATGGATGGCACTTAAGAGGGAGTGCTATTTCCGCCCATTGTAGGGAACTAGTAACTAAAGTTCCTGTTAGCTAAGACATGCTTGGGCATGTTTCTGTCATCAGTGTTCTATACAGAGCTTGTGTCAGTCTGAAAGCAGATAGGTATAAGACCAGAATTTACATGCTTACAAATGTTTCATAAGTTATGGGTAGCCTGTTAAATCCACAATACTTCATGTCTGCAATGAGAAAATAATTTCAGGTAATATTGACATTGTAGTAATAAATAACCGTAATAGGAAAACAAAATTGCCTAGCAATTTTTCTTTTCCTAGTAGATATCTTTCAGCGTTCTGAAGGGTATACCCCCTAGAATAAAAACTTTGAAGGCAGGGGCCAATCTGGATTAAAACTATATGTTGAGTACCTAGATAAGTACTTGGCTCAAAATAGTGCTCAAAAAATATTTGTTGAGGGTGCCTGGGTGGCTCAGTCAGTTAAGTGTCTGCCTTCGGCTCAGGTCATGATCCCGGGGTCCTGGGATCGAGTCCCACATCGGGCTCCCTGCTTCTCCCTCTGCTGCTCCCCCTGCTTGTGCTCGCTCGCTCTCTCTCTCAAATAAATAAGTAAAATCTTAAAAAAATATATTTGTTGACCGACAAGTTTCCACATTCTTTCAAGGGCTTTAGAGACGGGTTGATGGCACTGGTTCTTTATTTTACCTCATTCCGTGTCAAAATTTTTTTTCCTAGGCAATTATTTTTGAAAGTGTGTCAGCAACAAATAAGATGATCTTTTGCTCATAAAAGAATGAAGTGAGAGATATTCCTGAGATAACTAGGCTAAGTTGGAAGACAGAAGGGGAATTTTACAAGGATTTAAGGACAGTAAAGTCCAATTTCCAGTCTGAGCGGTGAAAACTTGAGGAGATAGGTGGGAGCTTGGCCTGAGGTCAGTCCTCCTTTATGTGAATAAATGAGGTGTTAGAAAAGAGGTGTTTTGGTCTACGGCCATACCACCCTGAACGCGCCCGATCTCGTCTGATCTCGGAAGCTAAGCAGGGTCGGGCCTGGTTAGTACTTGGATGGGAGAAAAGAGGTGTTTTGTCAGTTTTCTAGACTACCTCCCTGGTGTTGCTGCTGGTCCTGGGCAACTTGTATGTAAATCTTGCTAAACGCAGCTTCTTATTCAGAGAGCTGGGTGGGGGGGCATAGTATTTTGCATTCCTGGTAAGATCTCCAGTGATCTTAAGGCTTTTGTTTCCAGGACCATACTGAATAGCAAGAATCAGGATCCCCAGGTGATCTGTATGTATTTTTTAGTTTTACTTTGAGAAGACTAGTGTAGAGCAGTAGTCTTCAAACTTGTTTTGCTTGCTTTTCCTTTTTTTTGTTTTTTTTTAATTGTGTATTGCCTTACATGGTTTTAAGATGCCATCTAAAAATTGTATTAGAAATTTAATAGTTGCAAAAGATAAAATTCCAACATAGGTTGGCATTTTTAAATGAAATTAGTTTATTACTTTTACAAATATATCCAGTGGAATCTAAATAGCATAGGAATGTGATATGCCTTTCATCATCCATTTAAAAATATTTATGAATAAGATCTTAATTGATGGAGACTTTATACTGTTATTTTCCTTTCATGCTTTTATCTTTGCAATAAAACTGTATCTACATTCAATTATTTTTTTGTTAATATTCTGAAGGGCTTTATTAAAATTCTGTCTGGAGTGAGACAGCTTAATTAACAGTTGTACACAGCTGATGAAAATAACATAAGTATTAAAAGTTGTGTTAAAATTTAATTAAAAGTAAATTTTTATTCTTTATTTAATAAAATAAATAAGGTTATCACTTTTTCCACTTATTTCATACATCTGTGAAGGCATGTTATGTATTTCCAGAATGAGAAAAGATTTAGCTTCAGTTCTGTTTTGTTTTCATTGTGATGTAATTTTGAGAAACCTTAGTTACATAAGTAAGTAGATGACACTGGATAGAGTTTAATTATAGCAGTGTATCAGGTTTTTGAATTCTTGAATCACTCATGAAGAAATTGCATAGTGATCTATTATAAAGAATTATTAGGTCCTTCCACACTTTTTTTTTTTAAAGATTATTTATTTGAGAGAGAGAGAGAGCATGTGTAAGCTGTGGTAGGGGGAAGGAGAGGGAGAGAGAGAATCCCAAGCCGACTCCCCGCTGAGCACAGAGCTGGACATGGAAGCGTTTGTTTCAAGTGAAGCTAGCTTTGATATTGGGATGGGCTGGGTTAAGTAATAACTACTGTTCTACTCGTTAAAACTTCTGCTTATCAGGGTGCCTGGGTGGCTCAGTGGGTTAAGTGGCTCAGTGGGTTAAGCAAATGCCTTCGGCTCAGGTCATGATCTTGGGGTCCAGGGATTGATCCCTGCATTGGAGCCCTGCATCCTTGGGCTCCCTGCTCAGCGGGGAGCCTGCTTCTCCCTCTCCCCCTGCCCCTCGCGCCCTGCTCCTGTGCGTGCTCTCTCCTGGACGTTCTCTCTCTCTCTCTTTCTCTCTGTGAAATAAATAAATCTTTGGGGGAGAAAAAAGACTACTGGAAATAACAAGGGAAAGAACTCTGTAAAAAAAAAACGTGCTTATCAAAAATCAGTTTTTTAAACTTGAATTGCAATCACTATGGGTAAAGACTCTTCTCTTTATAATCTATAGCAACTGGAGGGAAAAAGGAGAAGGATTTTGCTCAGACAACAAATGCTTGTTTGAGCTTTATCCAAGAAGCGCTGCTGAAGCACCAGTGGCAGCAAGCTGCCGAATTCATGCACAGTTACTTCCAGATCTTGGAAGATTCGGATAGCCACAAGAGGCAGGCGGCGCCCGAGGTAAGTGTCCAGCGAGTCAGCTGGAGGCCGTCACAGATAGAGGAGTGTTTCTGCCTGTGGAGCTCCACCCTGAAGAGCTTTTGC